AAGGCTGCCAGAGCGGTAACCTAATCACTCCAAATCACAAGGTAATCCTACTTGCCCTCCACTCTTACAGCAGGGCATTATTCATATCTGCAGGCACTCAGACCTCAAACTCTCATAAGCAAATTAATCAGTGACACACATTCCTAACACTCTTGATTTAGAAAGCCAAAAAGCACACAGTTATTTCAAGAATTCTAATAGCTATATTAATGTCAAAGATATGCCCAGTTTACTTCCAAAATACTATAGAGGGAGAAAGCTTAAACACTAAAACTGCTTAAACTCACAGGTTAATCCCTGGCATTTAAATACATGAGCGATCTGATGTTAAGGTCTAGATTTACAAGCAGAACAAAACAAAAAATATTTCCGAATCTGACCAACATATTTGACATTGGAAATAACTCAAACCAAATGCGTTATTTGTTGGTGGTTCTGAGATTTTGGCTGGGGATTGCCGGCGTAGAAACCTTGAAATAAAATCCTGTTAAGCCTTCTGCCTCTCTCTTAGGAGTATAGTTAAAACCATGCTGTGCATGGACATGATTATGCACCGGCACAGGTCCTACGGCATGGCCCAGTGTTGACTTCCAGCAGGAAACGAGCTCAGCAGTTCAATTAGGGCAATTCTCAGTTTGGCCATGAGATTAGCAAGCGATGCAATATACTCAAAAAAAAATTGCCATTTGAAAGATTACATCTGATTTTACAAACAGATTACAGACTGATAAAGGAATTAAAACTATTTGAAATAAAACGCGGATGGTGGGAGAGTCTGAGAGCTAGAAGACTCAGACGTAATCCTGTCCGCAAACAGCGCTGCTGGGCTGCCCAGTCGACAGATCCGTTTGCTCTGTGGATGAGCAGGGGAAACACGAAGAGATAGTTCTTTCACACCGGGCTGAGCAGACACAATTAGACCCTTGTTCTGCGAGGAGGGAGAGGGCAGCTCTGTTTCGGCCTACAGACAGAGAATACATGAGCCCTCTTCAGTGATCAGAGTGGAGGATGCTCCAAATGAACACACAGAGTGAAACAACGTTCAGACTGAGTGCTTTTGGAGGAGAGAGCGAGAGGAAATGTACTAATCCCAGATAGCAGATCACAAGAGAAAAGGTATCTTGGCATTTCAGCTGCGGCTAATGGCTCCAGGGGTTTTAAGGCTCATGTTATTAGTCTGGAAAAGCCTGACAAAGGAACAAGAATCCAGGCCTTAAAGATAGGTTAGATGTTCATGGCTTGCAATGAATAGTCATAAAATAATCTGAACAAATTAGAGCAGTTCAGATCAACAGTGCACTCTAAAAAATGCTGGGTTGTTTTAACCCATCTTTGGGTCAAATATGGACAAACTCAGCCATTAGGTTACATGTTTAAATTACATTTTTAACCCAACATTTGGGTTTGTCCATATTTGGAAAAATAAAAAATAATATACAAAATCACTCGACTGTTCACCTGAAGATGAGAAAGAAGTTGAACATCTAAATGTAGCATATAACTTTGTTTTTGAGTACAATGAATATCCCAAAGCATTCACAACTATCTGGCCAGATCATCACACAAATAATAATTTATTGCTTGTGGAAAAATGGGAGAAAATCAAAACCACTGTGGTATGCGAAACGCATTGGTCGATAATGACAGACAAGGACTTGGCTTGTCAGCACACTATCCAACGGCACATAAAAAAAAAAAAAAATTTAAAAAATCAACTGTGAACTGACTAAACAAGTAATTGTTTTCAGGATAGATATATTTTGGACACCATTTTCCAACCACGCTTTCCTAGTAGAATAAGACTATGCGTGTATTTGAATGCTTTGCTGAAACTGTTGATTATTTAAAAAAAAATCAGAGAAAAAAGAGAAAAAAGAAAAACACACACATTCTTTGAAATTGTCTACATTGGTCTATGGTCTCAAAACCGCTATTCTCTTACTTTCTCTTGACGGCAAGTCATAGATTCAGTCTGACACAATAAAGTAATAAACCAGGCCTTGATTGATTTGTAGTTGCAATTACTGTGGCGCTGTCTTGTTAATAGCTTTATTTTCTTGCCTTTCTAAACATGTATACAGCCGCTCTCACAAGAAATGACCTTAAAAGGTTAAAGACTCAAGCCCCCAAGGGTGAATCATAGGTCCAAGGTTACATGGAAATGGGAGACTGATTGCTTCTCAACGACATCTCGAAATCTACTCCTGAAAACAATATTCTATGATGGATGCTGCAGTCTATGAACCAAAGGACTAAAGAATGGCTGCAAATCATCGATAGGCTACAGGGAGGGTCATAGCTACTTTGTGAAAAGCCTGAACTCTTAGAAAACAGCTTTAAAAAGTGAAGACATTAATCATTAACTACCTCTGACTCAGTGGGAGAGTAGAGGACACCAACAGGAAGTGGTAAACAGAAGCAGGATTCTTCTCCTTAGCCTTAAAAAGGACTATAAAGACTGTATTAATATGATTAAAGCAATTAAACAAGGAACTAAACTGCACAACCAGCTAATGACATCAACTGTTAACTGCCACCACAACAAACTTCATTAATGTTGCATAAATGCATTGCAAATTTAGTATTTTTATTTATCGTCATTTTATATTACTGGCCATTTATACAAATCGTTAAACAAATTATAGCTAATTTAGTTTCCATAATGCATGAGGATAGTTTTAGCGCTAAAAGCTAAACAAAAAGAAAACAGGAATGAAATGCTTACCTACAAGTAGTCCCCAAACGTTGAAAGGTGTAGACTGCCATCTTGTGGAAAGCTTCTAATGCTTTGACGTTGAATTGAGCAGAGATTCAGATAAAACACTGCTTCTTTTCAATGATTTTATTTATTTTAGTCAAATATATATGAATGCTTCCTTCATGAGGAGGGCTTCTCGGAGAAATTATAACAGAAAATCCATTCATCTAAATAAAACTGCAAACAAATAAACATTTGTAACACGCATAATGATACAGGGACAGACCATTTTTAGTTTGTGCCGTGGGATGACATTTTGACAGTCTAACACAACCATCATAATTTATTGTGATAAAACATGATTTTTTTGAACCCCCTAATGCATCTCAGAGGATTTACATGATTTGAAGTCTTTAAAAGTTCCTGAAGATATTAGGAAATTTCCAGAAAGTCTGGTCTGAAAGCATCCAGCCATACTTTTTGTCTTGTGATTCGGAGTTATGTAGGGTTTTTGCATAAAGGCACAAAGCAGTAAGGCCCTCCCCCCCCAAGGGCATCCTATTCTCATTTTTTTTTTTTTTTGGCAAGACATTGGTCCCAATTGGCAGTCCTCTTTTTCCATAGCCACTTACGTAAAAGGAAAAATAAAAAAGACAAAACATCAATAAAACCATTATGTGATTATACTTAAAGTGTACAGGTCTAATTCATAATTACCAAGTAATAAAATAAACATACTGAAACCTACAATCAGATGTGATCTACAGTTTAGAGAATACAGAGGGACATTCTGAAGTTTCAGCAGTGTATGACAACCTAATGGAGAGCTTGTTTGGGGGAAGTTAAGTCAAACCTACTACAGAGGGTACAGCTCAGATTTCATCTTTCCCTGTCTGAAGCTACTGTGCATGCTGGACAAGGGCAGGACTGCCAGGAGCCTAAGGATGGTTGAAATGTTGGGAAATAACTGGATGTCAGAAGCTTTGAGAGTTCCAAGAACAGTGTCGGGTAGCTGTTGATGAGTGGCAGAAGGACCTTGCCACCTGTCCCTCCACCTCTGCAGCTCAGTGTGGAAGGAGTGTAGGTCAGGTAAGTCATCTTGAAACACCTTGACAAACTCAGTGTCCGTGCAGCATCCCTCCACATTTGACATGACATAAGGCACAACCTGCAAGCAGCGAAGAGCAGACAGAACATCCTGGGAGATCCCTTCCACCTCAGCAAAATAGTGCTCAATGGCCCCTTTACTGAGGTCCACTCTGTAGTGCACGTTTAAGGGTGGTTGTAGTGACGGTACCTGCAGCTTAGAAGCTAGTGCAACTGCCTCTTGAAACCAGGTTTGATGGTGCAAGTCAATACTGTTCTTCGTTTCACTGAGAAAGGGCAGGAAATCAGACAGGCGGTTTACAGCTTGATACACGTCATAGGAATTTCCCTGAAGACTCAGACTTGTGTTTTTGGTGAGGCTCAAGATGTTTTTTATAATCACAACTGTCAATATGAAATCAAAGTTTTGGACAGCAGAAAGGAAGCTCTGGGCCTGTGCTGTAGTTGCCTCATTATCTTGTTTTCTTTTCATCTCGTTCAAGCAATGGACGATGGCCTCTAGAATGTCTGTAGTAATTTCCAGGCCCTCGTGACTCAATGCCAATTGATTGCTGCTGATCTTGGCTTTCAGCTCACTGGCTTTCCTTTCGTCCTTTTGGAACAAATGTACAACGGCATCCTCTAGTCTTACCCGACGTTGAACATCCTCAGAGAACCAAATAAACAGCTGCTCTAAGCACTCAAAACTTTGAGTTATCTCTCTTAGGGAGGACAAACTGGCTAGCAAAGACTTCAGAGTTACAGGGTTCGGGAAACTGAGAGCATTAGGGAGTCTCTGGGAAAGCAAAGCTGAAGCCTGTGTCATCTGAGAGAGCGAGGCACCTGTTCTTGCCAAGGTTTGACTTCTACAGAGTGCCAAGTTTAAACCCCACTTCTCAGAGAGAACAATGGTGAGAGTATCCACAAATGAAGCAATATTTGAGGAAAGGGGGATAAATGCTAATATATTTTCACTCTGAATGTCTTGTTTGTCAAGGTAGTGTATTCCTACAGGGATGTACTGTTGGCCATCAATTGCAAGCTCTTCCTCAGTAACTATGGAAAAGAATTTTATGTTACATAGTTTTTTGAGCAATTCCTCTCGAGCATCAGCATTGTAGGGGGTAAAAACTATTTTTTCAGGTCCACTGCCATCCATGGTAATTACTTGGTCTGCACTATCATTAGCCTTTACTTCAGACTGGTCTGTGCCTTCTGATGCTGCTACTATGGCATGATCGGTAATGTCTTCAGGGGAAACAGGTGTGCAGCAGTCAGTAACACTTGGAGTTATTGCAGATGGCTGATAAAGGCAAATGCGTACTGCCGCGGTTTCTTGGCCTGAGCCATTTGGAGCCGCTGAATTGAACTGATTTGTGCTAACTTCTGCAGCTACTTTAGGCTGGTCAGGGCCAAACTGATCAATTTCACTTTGATTCCCTGGTACTATCTGGTCAGTTCCAACTTGACTAAGTTCCACAGACTGATCTGGTACACTTTGATTCAATGCAGTTGCAAGAACGGTTCCACCTTGAGCTTCTGCTACAGACTGATTATTACCATGGGGCACATCTGCCACAAGTTGATCAGTTCCACTTTGCTCCTCTGATGCTACCTGCCAAGTTCCAACATTATCTGCTAACACAGACCCACTTTGATCTTCCACTATAGGCTGATGAGTTGCATCTTCCACAAATGCATCAGTTACAGTTTGATCTGCTGTTAGAGACTGGTCATTTCCAGACTCGACTACCATGAGCTGATCAGAGCCACATTGTTCCCCAAAACCAGCTGACTAGTTCCAACTTCATTTGGTAACATAGACTGACCACTTCCACCTTGATCTGCTATTACAGACTGATCCTTTCCAGAGTCAACTACCATGAACTGCATTGATCTACATTGATCCCCCAAAATTAACTGACTAGTTCCAACTTCATTTGGAAATGCAGTTTCTGTCTGACCGGCTTCACTTTTACCATCAACTATAGACTGATCTGACTCAACTTGACCAACTGCTATGAACTGATCCGGTACACTTTGATCTTCTGTCACTGACTGACAGGTTACATCTTGATCTTCAGTTCCAGACTGATCATTTCCTGAGTCATCATCTACCATGAGCTGATCAGATCTACTTTGATCCCCTGATACTAACTGACTAGTTTCCCCTTCACTTGGAAACCCGTTTTCTGTCTGAGCAGCCTCATCTTGACCCTCTACTAAAGAATGATCATTTTCAACTTGACCGATTACCATGAACTGTTCAGTTACGCTTGAATCTACCATTTCTGACTGACCCCTTACACTTTGATCTACTGTTAAAGACGGATCATTTCCAGAGTCAACTATCATGAGCTGATCGGATCCACTTTGATCTCCTGACACTAACAGACTAGTCTCACCTTCACTTGGAAAGCCATTTTCTGTCTGAGCAGTGTCATCTTGACCCTCTACAACAGAATGATCGTTTTCAACTTGACCAACTACCACGGACTGATGAGTTATACTTGGATCTACCATTTCTGATTGACCCGTTACACTGTGATCTGCTATTAAGGACTGTTCATTTCCAGAGTCATCTACCATGAGCTGATCGGATCCACTTTGATCTCCTGATATTAACTGACTAGTTTCCCCTTCACTTGGAAACCTGGTTTCTATCCGAGTAGCGTCATCTTGACCCTCTACAACAGAATCAACAGTTTGTGGTAATTGGTCAAGTTGAAAATGATGAGTAACACTTGGATCTACTATTTCTGATTGAATCGTTACACTTTGATCTGCTGTTAAGGACTGTTCATTTCCAGAGTCAACTACCATGAGCTGATCGGATCCACTTTGATCTCCTGATTTTAACAGACTAGTTTCACCTTCACTTGCAAACCTGGTTTCTAGCTGAGCAACGTCATCTTGACCCTCTACTACAGAATGATCCTTTTCAACTTGACCAACTACCATGAACTGATGAGTTATACTTGGATCTACTATTTCTGATTGACCCGTTACACTTTGATCTGCTGTTAAAGACTGTTCATTTACAGAGTCAACAACCATGAGCTGATCGGATCCACTTTGATCTCCTGAAACTAACAGACTAGTTTCACCTTCTCTTGGAAACCTGGTTTCTAGCTGAGCAGTGTCATCTTGACCCTCTACTACAGAATGATCCTTTTCAACTTGACCAACTACCATGAACTGTTGAGTTACACTTGGATCTACCATTTCTGACTGACCCCTTACACTTTGATCTACTGTTAAAGACTGTTCATTTCCTGAGTCAACTACCATGAGCTGATCGGATCCACTTTGATCTCCTGATACCAACAGACTAGTCTCACCTTCACTTGGAAACCTGGTTTCTATCTGAGCAGTGTCATCTTGACCCTCTACTACAGAATGATCCTTTTCAACTTCACCAACTACCATGATCTGTTGAGTTACACTTGGATCTACTATTTCTGATTGACCCATTACACTTTGATCTGCTGGTAAAGACTGTTCAGTTCCAGAGTCAACTACCATGAGCTGATCGGATCCACTTTGATCTCCTGATGCTAACAGACTAGTCTCACCTTCACTTGCAAACCTGGTTTCTATCTGAGCAGTGTCATCTTCACCCTCTACTACAGAATGATCCTTTTCAACTTCACCAACTACCATGATCTGTTGAGTTACACTTGGATCTACTATTTCTGACTGACCCGTTACACTTTGATCCGCTGTTAAGGACTGTTCATTTCCAGATTTATCGACAATGAGCCGATTAGATTCACTTTGATCCCCTGGTATTAACTCACCTTCATTTGCTAACCCAGTTTCTTTCTGAACAGCCTCATCTTGACTTTCTACTACTGACAGATCAATTCCAAGTTGGCCATCTGACATGAACTGATCATTTACAGTCTGATCTTTGGTTTCTGACTGATCAGTTTCACCCTGACCTGATGCTGCAGAAGGTTCATTGTGAGAGCAATCAACAGCTTCAAATTCATGAGATTCAATTTGATCCCCTGGTATCAACGGACCAGTTTTACCTTCATCGTCTATCTCTGTAACTATCTGACAAGCTTCATCCTGACCTTTTACTGTAGACTGATCAGTTTCCACTGGACTAACTGTCAACTGCTCAACTACACGTTGTTCCCCAGTTTCTGTCCGGTCATTTCCAGCTTGATCTTCAACTGCAGCTGTATCATTTCCACTCTCATCAATTTCCATGACTTGATCAGTTTCACTTTGATCTACGGACACCATCTGATTATTTACACTGTAATCAACTGCAATGAGCTGACAAGATTCAGTCTGATCCTCTGATATTAACTGACCATCTGCTACTGTGTGACAACCTTCATCTTGAGCATTTATAGATGAATCACTTTGTTTCTCTGTTGCTGGCTTGTCTGTTTCAATTGGTTCTGTTGCTACAAACTGATCAACTTCCATGGGTTGCTCAGTTTCACTTTGGTCAACCGATGCTAACTGAACAATGCTAACTGGCCGGTCTTTATTAGACTGCGCAGTTACATCATGGACAGATTCTGTTGGTTGGTCAGTTGTGCTGGTTGGCAGAGAGCTGCAAGCAGGGATGACTTGAGCTGAAGTTTTGTCTGAACTGATGGGCATTACACATGATGGCTGGTCAGGTGCACTTATGATGGGTATTTCTTCAGCCCTTTCTTTTTCACTGGTTTGTACTGGAATTTCCTCAGGAGCAACAGTTTTAACATCTAAACAAAATAGGAGACATGATTGTGTAAGAAAAACAGATGATTTATATTCATGTACCTAAGGTTATCACTAATACTTCTCATTTAGTATTACTGACCGGTTTCAGCATCCTTTGCCTCTTGTGGATAACCAGAACCATTTGTATCCACAGCCATCTCCTGTGGAGCCATGGCAATCACCTCTGAGAAAGGACAGGAAAGAGTGCGTCATAAAAACACAACAGCTTATTACAATACTTTGAGGGCACAATACTTTTAGTTCAACTACCATATCAATAATATTTTTTTATACTTGCATATATATATATTTTTAGAGTAATTAGTTTGACATACCGCCTTCCATTCTCAGGTGATTAACTCTTGCTTTTACCTAAATGCATAAATGCAATCAGAAAGGATTTTCAGGAACATCACTCAATCATCAGGTTATATTACTAATAATAAGAACGTACAGCAAAATACACTGCATACAGTGAACTATAACAGTATAAAGACTATGAAATTGACCATACCTGAGCAAGAAATTGTTGACTTTCTGGATCACCATCCACGCATTTCTCAATCACCTCCTCCAGGCTCTGTAGTGTCTGGCGATGCATAAGAAGCATGACTGCATCAGTCTTGCTACCTCCGCTGAAGATACCATCTCTAAGCAAGGTCCTGAAGGTATTTAGGGTTGTCTTCATTAGATCACACTCCATGCTAATGCTAGGCAGCACAGCCACAAGCTTAAGAAGGGTAGCAATGTTTGGAAGGTTTTTGGCTTCATTATGGAGCAAAGTCTCAGAGATGGAGGTGGGAGGACAAACATCTTGATATTTCTCCCTCCATACTGTGGCCCAGGTGTTTATGTCTTCTTCAACTGTTTCTGGCTCAGGGAGATCACTCAGGTATATTGTGTGCAGTTTATCTGTGGATTCTGGGAGAATGGGAAGAGGGTTGCACGTTGGCAGAAGGGACAAAACTTTCAGGGCTTTTAGGTGATTCTCAGAGAAGTTAAACTTCATTTCTTCAATCAAACCATTTAGAACTGGTAAGCTAACTGCCTCCAAGTAGAACGCTTCGGGTGAATCATAGCTACTAACAGATTCTGGATATGACAGCAATCCTGTAACCTTAGTCGAAAGCTCCACAGCCTCCTCAAACCAGGTAGAATGTACCGCACTCACATTGTCCAACATTTTGCTAAGAGAATCTATTATTGGCATGATCTTCTCAAGCTCACAAATAATGTCAGCCGGGTTTCCGCATCGAAACACAGTGCTGCAGTTCCTCAAGGGAGCGCAGGCGTTCTTCAAGATCACTAAGGGAATGACAAAATCGACCCGTCTAATAGCTGTGCACAGCGTCTGAGAATGCAGTGACATGCTACTACTCCATGACCCGCTGGAGTTGGTGCTCACAGAATCTAAACAATTCAGGGCACCCTCTAGCATGTCCACCAGAATATCGAAAAAGTCTTCCCTCTTTTTCCATCTAGACAAGCAGGTCTCTGGGATCTCTGCAAGTGCTTCCCGTGGGGTATTCAGAAGCCCATCCATGGTTTTGGCAAGCTCACTCTCCAATTTGGGTGACTGGTCAAAAAACTGTAGCAGATCCTCAGCTGTCTCCAAAACCTTTGTAATGTAGGAATTCTGTAGGCTTAAAGCCAGCCAGTAGGCAAGTCCACAAGACTCACTGGGAGTGTTCACCGCTAACGGATAGCTCTCTAAAAAGCCCAAAGCCATCTTCCTGAGACTTTGGCTCCCCGTACCAATGCACATGATGGACTGGCCACGACAGTAGCCCATCTGAAGTCCCCACTCATCCTCAAGTGTGGTTGAAAGAGTTTTAGCTTGCAAATCGAGATCAGAGCTTTCATCAAAGGGCAGAAAACCTATGAGCTCCACTTTAGGAATGCAGTGATTTACATATCTAACAAAGAGTGGTAGGAACTTTGCTGTGCCCACTGAGATTGCTCTATCGGTGATGATGGAAAAGAAAGGAGAGTCCTGAACTTCAGTGAGGATTGTTTCTCGTATGGCCTTCACAATACTTTGTAGCATTTTTCCTTCTGAAAATGATGTCCCTTCCTTCTGTACCCAATGACATGAGGCAAGTTTCTGTGCAACAGCATCTTGCTCTGGTTTGTTAAGGTCGATCCATGAGCAGTTTCTCCTTGCAAGTGTGGCTGCCTGTTTGAAGACTTCTTCACAGTTCCTTATGTTATCTGTTGGTTCATCAGAACGTCCATTCTCATCCACAACCTGCTCCACATCTTTAACCTTTACATGCTGGTCCTCAGCAACTACTTCTGCTACGTTTTCAGTCTGCTGCTGAGTCTCTATGCTCTCTGCTCCCTCTTTGTGGATATCAGCTTCTAGAAGGCAGGGTAAACATTATTCAAGTATAAATGAAGCAAATATTACATTAATGACTCAAACACATCAAGGATTCAAATGAAAAGCCAGTCAAAAAAATTAATAACCACTACCTGCTATCTCAGAATTCACCACTAGTGTTCTGGAGTCTTTGTCCTGTGAAAAGAAGTACTTGTGAATAAAGCTGAAAAAATAATAAACCAATAACTAGAGATCGACTGATATATCGGTTTACCGATATTTAAGCATTTTCCCATAATTGGGTATAGGTTTTGTAATATCGGAGTCAGTGATAAACAATAAATTCCTCGCCATCTTATGGCTGTTTTGAGAATTGCGAGCAAGACTGAGGGGAGAGGAGCCAACAACGGTGTTCATAGTTAATATAACTTGCCTTAATCCCTTAATTAATAAACATAACCGCCATTAATGATGTTACATAAATGCTTGTCATGTAGTTTAAACTTGGCACTAAAAAAATAGAGACGGACTCACGTAATCCGTCAAGTAATGTCCCAATAAAGAAGAAACTTTACATGAATTAAAACAGCCATGATTGAGTGAATGTTGGAAATAAAAGCGCTGAACAAAATTCTCCCTCCGCTCCTCATTACCCTCATGAAGTCATGTTCATAGAGCCATTCACCCACTGAGTTGATGCTCAGGAAATGCTTCAACATGGCAACCGTATGCAGCTTTTAGTGAAATCCACTCATTTAGAACGCCTTGAATTATATTAACCTCTACAATTTAACATTATTTAGCTAATAAACATCTAAATAATTGCAGCTCTGTGCAAATTAAATATCTCCACGAGAGACGTTTGGTGTAAAAGCACAGATAAAAACAGCGCTCTGTCAGCAGGTAGACCATTTCATAATCTAAACCCACAAAAACATCAATAATTCAGATAACATTCCAGATGAGATGGACTTGGTAATTGCGATAAGGGAATTTGTTTATTTTTCTGACTATGTTTGCATATTACAGTGCATATTCCATTCTCTTCACTCTTTAGCCTATCAAACAACAGATAAACCTTTTAAAACTGTAGTTTAAATAAATGCAAATATTTATTAAGACATTTATAGTTGATAAGCCATTTATGTTCTCCATTATAAAACAGACTTTGTAAATGCATTTTGCTTGCTGTTAATATGCTGTTATTATAAATATTCAAAATTATTAAATCTCAAAATAATTTTTACATTTATATTCATTACCTGTTTGTTTACCTTATCAAATATTTTATTAAAAATAAATTATTATTATTAAATAATTTATAATTATTTTTATTAAAAATATCAGTTCTATATATATGTTATTGGGCACAAAAACATGCAAATAAATGATATCAGTTATGAATAAAAATCAATATCGGTGATGAGGCAACGTTTTACTTAAAATAATTCAAAACTATGTTTAACTAGATCACCGATTTACACTTAAAATATGAGTGCAGATCTGTGCCCACTTAAAAAATGAGGTGATATACTACATAATCAATGCAACTTTACAAACCTGCAGAGTGTCCCTGTTCTCCACTTCATCCATGTGGATGTCATCTGCAATGTTGAAAAAGAGGGAATTAAAGTTGGCATGAACTGAAAATTCACCCTATTTTCTTAATGCATGTTATTGATCTTTATGTGGATAACTTATCTACCAGAAAAAAGTAAACATGCATAAACATGCATACATTCATATACATACACCCCCACACACAAATACTTTTCCCTTACCCAAAAGAGATTTAGATAAGAGTTTTTAAAAAAAGAAAAAGAAAGCTTTAAGAATAATCACAGACTACATACCTTCTGTTTTTATTTCAGCAGTCCTTCCTAAGGTTTTGGATTCTTTGTCCTGTGGAGCGCAACGGGCATTAGAAATACATTTGGAAAGCAAATGAAACATTTCACACAAAAAAAACTGACCCTTACCAGGCAAATACCCTCCAGCGTCTTCGGAGTAAGCTTTAAGCACTGAGCAACCATTCTGTCCAGGTCTCTGTTAAAGTCAGTGCCGATCTGAAGCATGGCTAAACAGGGCAATCTATCCATGGGCGAGGTGTTGCTCAAGTAGTTCTGATACATTTTATGCCGCTTCACCTCACCACAATATTCCAAGGCTGTGCTTGGCAACACACACATAATCTTCAGCAACGTATTGATGTTTGTAAAGTACTGCATAAGGGGTAGTCGCAGAGTCTGAAAAATGGTCTCCGGTATGGTTACACTAACCACTTTCGTCTTCCACTTCACTTTCCAGCAGCTCAGCTCTGTGAAGAAATTGTCAGGATCTGGAAGGTCACCAATGTACAATGGAGGTTTTGACTTCAGAGTTTCAAAAACATAGCTCATCGTCACAGAGCACGGGACCAAGGACAATAAGTTGAGAGCCTCCTTGTGGTCATCAGAGAAATAGTCTTTCACCATGTTTATCAGGTGGTCAACTAACGGGACGCTCATTGCATCTTTGTAGTATGAACCTGGTTTCAAGAGGCTGTCCCTCGGAACAATCACACTATCAGGCACTTTAACCTGCACACCCAGATTCTGAGCAAAAGAACAAGCTTCATCAAACCAGTTCTGATGGAAAACCTTGATGTTGGTCTTCACTCGGTTAAGTGTGGCCACAATACCACTGATCTGGCTGAGCTGCGAGGCAGCACTAAAATGGTCTTTCTGTAGCGCTGCACTTAGTTCTCTGGTGAAGGAAGAGGCATTCTTTAACGCAACGATTGCCACAATGAAGTCAAAGTCCCGAATTAACTGAAGTAGTCTTTTGGCTCGGTTGGATACCGCCAAACTCCATCTTTGTGGTTGACAGTTGTCAATATTTTCTAGCCAATGCGCCAGAGGCTCCAGAATCTGAGCGAAGACTTCGTAAGAGTCATGCTTTTCAAGCCAAGAAGAGCAGAATTTTCCTTGAAGCTCATGGATTTTCTCATAGCTCTCTCTTAAGCCTATGGCTAAGACTTGATCTAACTGTTTCTCAAGGGCAGGCATGCTGTGAAAAAAAGACACTATCTCCTCTAATGTGTCTATGGTTCTGATGACTGCGGCTACTGGAACCGACCTTGACCACCAGGTATTGAAAGAGTAACATGAGCAATGTGTGCATATAGCGAGAGGATACTTCTCCTGTATTTTACAAGCAAAAGCCTTGAGCTTGTAGGACACTTCCCCAGAGCCAAGGTAAGCTTGACCTCTGCAGTAGCTTAAATCCAGACTCCACTCATTGGTGACAACATCATAAAGTCGCTCGCAAATGGCCTCGGTGTCGAGAGTAACCTCGACAAATCCCATAAGCTCAAGCCGCATGACATCGAAGCTGTCAACAAATCTGAGGAAGATGGGCAAGTAGTCAGTCTCTCCAAATCTGACAACTCTGTCGATAAACAGGGAGAAGAATGAATTTCTGACCTCTGAAAGAATCCTATCCCTAACAACATCCTCACACACTTTAAGGACTTCATTCATCTCAGATTTGGTCACGTATTCTACTTCTTGATCTTGATCACCCTGAGTGTGTCTGCTTTGCCTGCTATATGCGGCAGAGACAGCCGCCTGTAATGCAGATTTTAATGCCTCTTTATCGGTTTCTGAACACTCGGGTGGTTTCGGTCTCTCGACGTCCATATTTAAGGTCATCTCTCTTTGTTCTTCCGCATCTTCTTTAGAAGCGTCATTTGCACTGGTTTCTGGAACTGTACAGGGGTTGAAAGAGAAAAATCAACAACCGTATCTAACATAAAATTCAATTTAAAGGGTTAGTTCACCCAAAAAGGAAAATTCTTGTCAGTATTTACTCACCCTCATATTGTTCCAACCCCGTAAGACCTTCGTTCATCTTCGGAACACAAATTAAGATATTTAAGATATTAAGATCGCCCCTGCATACTAGACCATAGACTCTTACTGGCATTGAAAAGTCATTAAAGACATCGTTAAAATAGTCCAAGTGACAACAGTGGCTAAATTTTAACTTTACCAAACGACGAGAATACTTTTTGTTCGCAAAAACAAACAAAAATAACGACTTTATTTCAACTATTCAGTTCCTTCTCCATGGGCCTGCAGTCAGTTAACGTAGTGTGATTGCGTAAAGCTACGTCACACGTAGGCTCACTATTGGCCGACGCTGGTCATGTGTGTGATGCGTGTGACGTACAATAACAGAAGCTTACGCTATTAAACTAGTAACCTGACTCGCGCAGAGGGAGAAATAAACGAACAGTTTAAATAAAGTCGTTATTTTTGTTGTTTTTTTGCGCACAAAAGTGTTCTCGTCGTTTGATAAACCTTAGATTGAGCCCCTCTAGTCACTTGGACTATTTTAACGATGTCTTTAATGACTTTTCGATGCCAGCAAGAGTCATTCCCTCAAGAAGCCTATGGACTAGTATGCAGGAGCGATCTTAATATCTTAATTTGTGTTCCGAAGATGAACGAAGGTCTTACGGGGTTGGAACCACATGAGGGTGAGTAAATACTGACAGAATTTTCATTTTTGGGTGAACTAACCCTTTAATCTCATTTGAGCCATGAAAACAAGACAAAAGAGAGAGATGAGAGATGTTTTACCTGATGGTTGCACTTCCATTACATCATCCTAAAAACACACACACACACAAATGGTGAATAGCAGGTTAAAAACATATTAGAGTTGGTTTTTTGTAGTAAATTAGTCAAAAAAAAAAAAGTTTACCTCCTGTAATAGCTGCAGGATTTCCGGATATTTCTTTACATACCCCTCAACCATTTCCTCAATGCTAAAGTGGACGTCTTGATTGACATAAACAAAGGCCATATTGCTCAGTCTTTTTTCCACTGGCACTTCTTTCATGTAGGTGTGATACCGGTCCAGAACCATGTCGTACTGCCCATACACATCCGAATCCGCATGGACACATGGGATGGTGCCCAGCACTCTCAACAGGCTCTGTACATTTGGGTAAAAGCCTATATCTGGGATCTTGAGTGTCGCAAACACGCTAGTGGGAAGAATCCTTCGCTTGCTAGCATGCCTCCATTTCACTTCCCAACAGCCCAGCTCATCATAAAAGGAGTCAGGACGAGCCAAGTTATTCAGGTTAGCGTCAGCGACTTTGTCTTTGCGGATGCTAAAATTGTGGTCAGCCATATATGAGGGCACCAATGACAACCATCTGAGGATTCTTGCCATTTCAGTGCCAAGGACTCTTTTGACTTCTTCAACAAGGTATTGCAAAACCTTCTTGCTCAGTGCTTCCCTGTAGTAATCCTCCAACGAAACTTGTGGTTTCTCCGTTCCATCCCCGTTTGTCACCATCTCCGCCGGCAAATTGACAGACACCCCCAACTTCTTGGCTCTGCCCAATGCGTCGGAGAACCACTTCCTGTGAAAGATGTCAATCTCCTGCATGTGTTTGGTGAGAAGCTTTAAGGCGTTTGAGATGGTGTACTGTAAAGTGCTGCTGATGCTGATTATTCCCCTGAGGCTGGGGTTCAGGATGCTCACACAACACAGAGTGTTTTTCAAGACCACAAGAGTGATGATGAAATTAAAGTTCTTCAGTTTCTCTTTCAGCTTCAGAAGCCCTTCGACAGTGTCTGCATCCACATCTGAAAGGGCACTGGTGCACATCTCTCCAATGCTGCTCAAAAGCGGCTCCAGGATATCAAGCATTGTCTGGAAAGCATCTGTGCCATATTCCCAGTGGTTCTGGCAAGAATCCTTGACTCGGTCCACCTCACCTTTGATGTGGCTGTATGAAGCGGTGATCTTGGTATCAAGCTTCTTCGCCAGAGTTTCTGATTGCCTAATAACTGAAGCGACCTGCTCTACAGTATCAACAACATCTTGAATTGGAAGGATAGGCATGGAGCGAATCAACCACATGTTGAAGGCGTAGGGCTCACTGGGGGACAAAACTACCTGTGGAAAATCCCGCAACATCCTGCAGGCGAGATCCTTCAGCTTCTGACACATGCTACCTGATGACAGGTAGGTGAAGCCACGGCAGTGCTCCATCCGAAGGCCCCACTTGTTGCGGGCCTCGGATATGAGCATTAGGAACAGACTGTCAGAGTCGACGTCACAGGGAAGGAATCCCATGAGGTGTTTCTGTGGGAAGCCTTCACCTGTGACAGAGCGGATGAACAAAGGAATCTGATCCTTGCCCTCAATGTTTATTTTGTCCAGGAGAAGTATGGAAAAGAAGCGTGCAAGGCGCAGGCTATTGCGGATCTCCTCACGCATCACATCTTCGCCCAAGTTGAGCACTTCTTTTTGGTCGATCTTCTCCGCACATACGGTATTGACTGAAAGCGGCCCAGCTGGGTCATTCCCCAAAGGCTTAACCGAGTTAAGAGATGCATTGTTGGCGATGCTGAAACCAGTGAAGGCTAACGTCTCTTTGAAGTAGTCTTTCAAAGTTTCCTTCGCTTTGGAAATAGCAGGATCCTCCTCTGATTCATCCTGTGCAGGAGGATTTTGAGCTTCAATGTTCTCTGCTGAGTCACTCTCAACTTTAACTTCCGCCTCCGTCACAGAGGGGTTTGAGTTATCAGTGGCACCTTCAAAACAAAAAAAAAGAGAGAAAGACAAAATAGTAGAGAATCCCTGGTGATTAGTTTGTGTGATTACAAAGGGGAGAGAATTAAAAGATGCTGATATGGAAATGCATTATCTACCTTTAGTTTTCTTTGTGACAATTGGCCCATCTCCTGTCTGAAAAACAAAATAATAATAATAATAAAATGTATTGTGCTAAAATGTTTGTAGTCAACATGACAAATAAAAACAACGTATAATAACAATAAGCTAATACATTTCTTTACTGATAGCTACAAATTATAAAATGCTTGTTGGGTAAGGCATGTATGTCCACCAAAGCGTTTTTATGGCGCTTTTCCACTGATGGTACGGCTCGGTAAGGCTCAGTATGGTTCGGCACGGCTCGGTTCGCTTTAGCTCGGTTGCTTTTCCACTGCAGTTAGTACTGCTTTAAAGTGGGTGGGATTATAGACTGATCATAACAGCGGTGGCTGTTAAATCTAGCAGGTTTGGTTTCTCGTGTCGATGTCTATTGGTCGCAAATACAATGACGCTAGTACTGACGATTCTGTCTGACCAATCAGTGATCTGCAGTGTTTCACGTCACATTTAGTACCGGTACGGTGCGCTTGAAAAAAATGCCAGGCGATCGGCACTTCAGCGTGAAAAAAAGTTCAGCGCCTCGTTACGCTCATGGCGTTCTAAAAACGCGGCGCTCCCATTGAAAACAGGCCAGACGCGTGGAAAAACGCTTTGGTGGACACCTGGCCTAAAGGACTATTGAGAACTATTACAAGCATGAAATTTTTTTTTAAGGGTGTGTGGTTTGCTCCATTATTAAATGTTGCTTCATAAAAGTCTATATAGTGTAAGATTATGCTGAAAATTAGTCTTATGCAGAGTATGCAATGCATGCAAAAAGTGTTAGCGCAGAAAGTTTACTTATTTTTTTTGCAACTCTAAAACTCTGTCCAATGCAAAACAGTTCACATCACCTTTAGGCTAACCAGATTTTGGTGTATCCTTTTCAGGAGTGGCTAGAGACCATGCATTACTGATTTACTAATAAGGTTCTGAAGTGTAAATCAGAGACTTACAGAGACTTTCTCCCTTGTCCTTTTTCTGTTGCTAGTTTGAGTTTTGCCTTGGTTAGATGCGAAATCAAATATAGTAGGAATGGCATCATCCTTCAAAACAGACTTAAGATCACCCTGGAAAAAGAAAAAGAAATGGGTTTTATACATGAGGTATGGGGTTGGGGCAGGGACAGAGGCTATTAGGCTATTATTAGGGAATGATTTGATAAAATGTGAATAAAAATCATTCAACAAAAAGACATCCCAATTATCAATTTAATAGCATCCTAATCTGTTTAGGCACCCTTAAACAAATGTAATATTGTGAATGAATTGAACCTTTTATCCATTTTAAGAAAAAATCAAATTCTTAGAAGAGCAAACTGAATTTTAAATAAGTTCGAAATGCATTTCATTTAAATGCAAAGTTTACTGTAATCTAGTTTAGCCACTAAAACTTACACTGAAGCGTGTAGTACAGTACTATCATCTTGGGAAAAATGTATAATTGAATAATTCTTTAATAACCTTTAGCAAAATTAATGTGGTATATCAAACAGGCAATTCACCAACATTCATGCTATATTTATAACCAATTAAATCTGCTTTGATTCACTCAAAACTCATTTTAATAACCATGTAGGAAATTTAATTTGACATTTATAAACATATGATGACATGTCAAAAATAGTTTGGGGGGAGACACAGACACAGGCACAAGTCAGCACACTGGTCAACACAACACTTGTCTGGTTTTGTTCACTTACATCAAGCAGATAATGCGAGATATGAAGAAACAGAAAATGCTCACTTACTTGCTGACATATCACTGCTGTCTCAAAATGTTTTGAGCACAGTTTATAGTTCCTGTGTAAATCTTCAGCTGTTTTGGTCACCAAATCTGGTCTGTGGCAGTTACCCACCCATTGTTTACATCTAGAGATATGAGGTAAGGTTACTGCAGTAGTGCAAAACAATAGGTTTTAACAATAAAAAAACTAAAACAAAGCATTTATGTTTAATGAATGTCATAAAATATTAAATACCACAAAAAGAAACCAGCAAAGCAAAAATAAAGCCATAAACAAAATAACGTATTCTGGGGGAATTAAATTCCTGCCATTTTGGGAAGGGCCTGATGATGGCGAACGTGCACAGGACTCGTTTGCTTACAGTAACCCCATAAAAGTTGAAGCAATCACTTTGAAGAAAAATGAAAGGGGATTTCATTACTGCCAGCTACAAAATAAGCCTTTGCAAAAAAATAAATAAATAATAATCATTGCATAAAGATTAATGAAAGCAACATGTTCCGCCTAAACTGAAAGTACGGGTTTAATGCGTTCAATGAATCATTGCAAAGGGGGGTAGAAGCTAACCAGCTAACAAATAAGGCTAATTTGCTCGTTCTGTACTTAAAGACAAATATAAAAAGAAAAAAAATAACATTGATTAATTTGCGACTGCATTTACGCACAAAAGAAAAGGCTGCACTCACCGATCAGGATCCAGCGGGAAACTAAAGAAGGAAACGTTGGACTGGTCCGCTCTCTGCTTGCAGTTTGCTGCGGCACAGCATTCGGGCATTTTGGACTTAATCATAATGAATATTGCATTGCATGGATCCTCCAGCGCAAAATGAGATGCGTTGAAAGCAAAAAAGAGCGCGCGCGCGCGCTTCTAACGTTACATAGATTTAACGCTATCGAGCGATTTTCCAATCGTCGCGTGCATTCTACTGGAACTTGCTCATGGCCGAAATGTTGCTACTTTCACATAGGAATCAACAACCAGGAAGAACACCTATGTAGAGCGGAAATGGACTAAACTGAGGACGGATCACCCCCCAAAATAAATCTATCGTCGTCATTCGTTTCCCTTCTCGCGTGCATTTAAAGAATATGTAAAACAAATGATTTGGAAAAAATGTAGTACAAGTGATAACTCAAATACAAATTGTTTCCGTCTCCACGAGGCGCCAAAGCGGTTTTTTTTTTGTAACCCACGTGGACATTCGAGGTCACACCCTTTTAATAACACTTAATATTGAGTCATTGATATTTTATATAGGTGTAAGTCTTTTTTTACAGTCTATGGTGTAAGTATGCATGTGACAATAACCCGTTTAATCCCACCGGTAACATATACAATTAAAAGTTGTTGATGTACACAGAGCTGTCAACAATAAATTACAGGTTTGGATCAGAGTGTATGTTAACAATATTTCATATTATGGATACAGATTTTTAATTTCAGTTTGCTCCTCTAAAATATGTCATAAAACACAGCCACAATTTGGTACATGTATTCATATTTGTTCTAATTTTAAATTACATTAATATTTAAATAGATTTATAATAAATCCTGTTTGGTAGTTATTGTTTTCCAGTTTACTATTTTACTTCGGAGCGATTTAATGTTTTTTAAACATTTTTAGAAAACATTTGCAGTTCTTAGTAAAGGTAACTAGTTTTTTTAGGAATATAACATGCTTACTTAGCTAAACTTAAATGTGTGAATAAATAAATGATTTAATATGGCATCTTGAAGCTGTAATCAAAGGCCTCGGGATTGATAATGTACCAATAAAATAACCAAGCTTTGTGATATGGCAATATAAATATTTAGTAAATGCAATATGCATACAAAATAAATGTTTATGTGCATGACATAATTTGTAATGCATATTTCTAAATTCTTTATGTAAATATTATTAATTGTAATAATACAGTGTCCAAAGGAAATCACAGTTTATTTGGCAGTTTAATATAAAATTATACCAAATATGAAGAACAGAAAACATAAGATGTTTATATTTTTAAAGAAATGTCTTTAATTCTGAAAAACACATTTCAAGACACATTAATTTAATTCTTTTAAATGCTTTCAAATAAATTCAAATTGAGGGTACATGTATATATACAATGTTAAACGAAACAGTAGGACAATAAAAAAAGGATTGAGTACTGGTAATCTTGGCTGACTGTACATGAAGAGCAAAAGTAACAAAATTACAAACATCAAACTGCCATATTTAAGACTGTACTGCTTCCTGTAATCAATCACGTTTCTCCGATGGCTCACTATCTGGAAACATTTTTAAGTATGTCTCCACCATGTTGTCCAAATCATGCTTAATGGCAGAGTTAATATAGAACAGGGCCATACTCTTGTTTCTGTGATGCACGGGCGTATCTTCCAGGTATGTTGTCAGTCGTTGTTTCGCAGTGCTGCAATTCCCATTTGACAGAGCAAAGACTGGCAGATTGTACAGGACTTTCAGGAGAGCACACACATTGGGGAAGAACTTCACATCGGACAGCTGAAGTGTCTCGTAGATGGTCGATGGCAATACAACATCTTTGCCTCCATGCTTCCATTTGATCTTCCAGCAGTGCAACTCGGCAGGAAAGGTGTCCGGGTTCAGCAGGTCATCTTTATAAATGTCCGCGCTGGTCTCCTCTGCGGTGTTGAACTTCAACTGTCCCATGATGGCAGGGACAAGTGACAAGGAGTTCAAAGCCTTCAGATGATTTTCAGAGAAAAGGTCAGCAAGCTCCTTGATCACATGGGTGACCACAGGAAGGGTGACTTGCTCTTTATAGTAGATCTCAGGTTGGATTTCCTCACCAGACGTTGGTCGTTTTCTGAAGTACAGCCTGGGAACTTTTACTGGGATTTCAAGCGCTGCAGCCAGATTGACAGCCTCCTCGAACCAGAACTCATGGTAGACCTCGATATTATCGTAAACCTCATTCAGAGAATGCAGAACAGCCGTTAGACTGTTAGATGCGAAGAAGACTTCATTGGTTTTCCCTTGCAGATTCTTCCCAAAGGCTCTAGAGAAAGAAAGGACGTTTTTCAGCACCACTAACGTCATGACGAATTCAAAATCGGCCAATGCCTCGGATATGACGAAGGCGCTGTGCGCCACCTCATCGTTCCATTTGTGATCTTCGTTGTCATGGACGCTATCCATGCAAAGCAGGAGAGACTCCAGGAGGTCGACGGCTAATTCAAATGTATCGTGCTGCTCGGTCCATTTCAAGGAGCACGCCTCCTTGAGGATGCAGGCTTTCTCTTCATTTCCCTGGTAGTAGATCGAAATCGCACTTTCCAGCTGATTTTGCAACAAGGGCGATTTACTGAAAAACGCATCCAGCTTTTTCAGGGTCGACATGACGAGATGCACTCCCGTGAACGTCATTGTGTTCGCCAGGCAGATGTTCAAGGAGCAATTGGAGGAAGGGGTGAGAACGGCCAGTGGGTATAGCTCAGCTATTCTGGCCACCACCGCTTTGACCTTGGTAGTGGACACGCCAGAACACAAATATGCCTGTCCTCTGCAATACTGCATGTCCAGGGCACATTTCTCAGTCACTTCAGCAACAAGCCTCTCGGTGATGGCCTCCACGTCACCTTCGAAGAGCAGGAACCCGACGAATTCCTCCCGGAGGGTGTTGGTCTTGTCCACAAAGCGTACGAACAATGGGAGATGGCTCTCGCTGCCCATTTCAACCAGGTTGTCTACAACCAAAGAAAAGAAGCGTCCTTCTTTAACCTCAGCCAAAAGCTCTTCACAAATGCACTTTTCCATCACTTCCAGGATCTGCTGCAGTTGAGTGGAGGAGCAGTACTCGAGGTTTACAGGCGACCCCTCAAACTTCTTTCTGAGGAATTCGTCTCCTGCGTTGATCCGGTACTCCAACAGTGCCTGGAAGTTGCTGGGAGTGAAGCTCTTGCTTCTGGGTTCTTTGTCCGAGTGCCCATGCAGAGGGATGTTCTGTGTGCCCATCATCACGACAACATCCAACAGAGACTTGAGATACTCTTTATTCAGCGTTTCCTCATCAATGACCTGAGGGCTGCTGTCAACCCCGTCACCATTTTTGCTCGCACTGATCTCTTTGGTTGTTGTCTCGCTATTATCTTTAGTTTCCTCACTTTGGGAGTCCGCTGAAAATGTAAAAACAATATTTGTGTAAATTGTGGAATAAAAAGAGTGTCAAATGGCAATATTACAGCAGTATGTGAGAAAAATTATATTGCAATGCCTAGATAGTTCTGAATCATAAAACAAAGCCACAAACAAAACCAACTCACATTTCTTCTTCTTCGCTTCAGGGGCATCCTTATTTTCAGTCTGTTAAAGAATTTGGTATGTTTTTAGTAAACCACTCACATTCAGTATTTAGGCCAAATTTAATTTCAACTTTACTTTGAAATGTAAAGAGACGGACATAATACAGTACACGATCGACATAGATTAAAACATACTGAGCTACTATTACCTCATTTTTTGACCGTTTGAAGGAAGGATTGTCAAATATGGTTGGTATCGCAGTATCCTTCAGTACAGTCCTGAAAGGGCTCTGGGTAATAATCACAATAGTGTGCAATGCAATATGTTAGTAATCGCATGCTATTTATTAATGGGAAGTTGTGATATCAAGCTGTAGTGTCCAATAGTTGTAAATGCTATACTAATATATAGCAATTTCTAATACCTGTACAGTATAATAACTATAAATGCTTTTTATTTAGGAATTTTAGATTTTTAAAAATATTACATTTAAGTGTAACAGCAACAAAAACATTATACATATATAAATTCATGTAATTTTAAAGTTTATTATTTTATAGTATAATTTTAGGTACATTCGAAAACTACCACAGTAATTACAAACTGAGCATGAATCCATAGCTTACGGTTTTGGTGATCAAGTTAGGTTCAAAGTGCCTTGCACACAGTCTGTGGTATTTGTTCAGATGGTCCGGCGTTTTGTCTTTCAGGTCTGAGCGACTGCAGTTTTCCACCCACTTCTTACATCTAGGGAATAAATTACATGAATGAAGCATCATAGCAGTTATTAAGTACAATGATGTAAACATTGTAATGGAGTAATACTATGATATAGTGCCTATTTTAATTTTTACTGTATTACACAATGTTGATTGTGGCTGGCTGCTAGTGCTAATACACAGCATTCACACTGAGATCAATGCCGTTCAGTACATGACAGATGACATTCAGTCAGTGTTGTTACTAACAGCCAGTTGGGCTAACGACTTCCCTATCCAATATAAACAATAGAAAAGCTGAGTAAAACTGGGCTGTCTGGTGAATAACTCCCAGTCCTGTAATAATACTTTATATGATAAGTTATATAAACACTATTTAATACATGACAGACTTGCATCTGATCTTTAAGCAAGCTAACTAGCTCAGGACAGCTCTGCATAGTCTGTACGGGCAAATACATGAAGTTAAATGAAAGTTAAACGCGAAACCCTATCGTCTGGCTAACAAAGAGTAAGATAGATGGGGGGAAAGTGTGTAATACCTCTCAGGGTCCCGTGGAAACCTGAAGAACGCCAGCACCGAGTGAGTGCTGTTCCTGGAGCAGTTCAGCGCCGCGCAGAAATTAGGCATCGTGCGTTCACTCTGAGTCGAATCTTAATAGCGAATCCAGTTCATTTGACTCACTGTTATGATATTCCGTTCAGAAAGTTTTACAAATTTTGTTTTATAGATTAATAAAGCGGTAAATTGACCTGCACTCTAGTGCTTTGTGTGGCCTGGAGGAGAAGCGCGTTGGAGTTCGTCTCCGTCCCACAATGCTTTGCTCTCACAACGCGAGTTCAAATTCCCAGCCAATCAGCGTGCGCTTGCGGGAAGAAAGTGGCGGCAGTTAGGGAGGAACCTGAATAAATCATAGATTCAAAACAATATTTTTATGAGCGGAACCGCTATCCCAAAAAGGAAAAAAAACTCGGTTTTATATGACTTTCAAAAAAAAAAAAAAAAATCCAGTCACCATTTAAATTCTCATGTAATGAACGTGAATGGCGCCTTTAACTGTCATTATGCACTAAGTTACCTCTGTATTTGTTATTTAAGGAAGCGAACCTGACA